CCTTGCAATGAATCAGGTGGAGAAGGTGGTGGAGATTGGTCTGGCAATGAAGGAGGTGAAGATTCACCTGGCAACAAAGGAGGTGGGGAAGGTGGTTGTACAGATTGGCCTGGCAATGAATGAGGTTGAGATTGGCCTGGCAATGAAGTGGGTGAAGAAGGTGGTGGTGATTGGCCTGGCAACAAAAGAGGTGGAGGAGGTGGTGGTACAGATTGGCCTGGCAATGAAGCGGGTGGAGTTTTACATTGCAATGAAGCAGGTGGAGATTCACCTTGCAATAAAGCAGGTGGAGAAAGTGGTGGTGGAGATTGGCCTGGCAATGAAGGAGGTAGAGATTCGCCGGGCAACAAAGGAGGTAGAGAAGAAGGCGGTGAGTGGTCTGGCAATGAAGCAGGTAGAGAAGGTGGTGGAGATTGGCCTGGCAATGAAGCAGGTAGAGATTCGCCTGGCAACAAAGGAGGTGGAGAAGAAGGCCTGTGATTGGCCTGACAATGAAGCAGGTGGAGATTCAACTGGCAATGAAACAGGTGGTGGAGATTGGCCTGGCAATGAAGGAGGTGAAGATTCACCTAGCAATGAAGGAGGTGGAGAAAGTGGTGGAGAATGGCCTGTCAATGAAGAAAGTTGAGATTGGCCTGGCAATGAAGCGGGTGGAGTTTCACATTGCAAAGAAGCAGGTGGAGATTCACCATGCAATGAAGCAGGTGGAGATTCACCATGCAATGAAGCAGGTGGAGAAGGTGGTGGAGATTGGCCTGGCAATGAAGGAGGTGAAGATTCACCTAGCAATGAAGGAGGTGGAGAAGGTGGTGGAGATTGGCCTGTCAATGAAGGAAGTTGAGATTGGCCTGGCAATGAAGCGGGTGGAGTTTCACATTGCAAAGAAGCAGGTGGAGATTCACCATGCAATGAAGCAGGTGGAGATTCACCTTGCAATGAAGCAGGTGGAGAAGGTGGTGGAGATTGGCTTGGCAATGAAGGAGGTAAAGATTCGCCTGGCAACAAAGGAGGTGGAGAAGAAGGCGGTGAGTGGTCTGGCAATAAGGCAGGTGGAGATTGCCCTGGCAATGAAGCAGGTAGAGAAAGTGGTGGAGATTGACCTGGCAATGGAGGAGGTAGAGATTCGCCTGGCAACAAAGGAGGTGGAGAAGAAAGCCGTGATTCACCTGGCAATGAAGCAGGTGGTGGAGATTGGCCTGACAATGAAGGAAGTAGAGATTTGCCTGGCATTGAAAGAAGTGGAGACGAAGATGGTGACTGGCCTGGCAACAAAGGAGGTGGAAAAGATGGTGATACAGATTGGCCTGGCGTTGAATGAGGTTGAGATTGGCCTGGCAATGAAGCAGATGGAGATTGGCCTGGCAATGAAGCAGATGGAGAAGGTGGTGGAGATTGGCCTGGCAATGAAGGGGGAGAAGATTCACCTGGCAATGAAGGAGGTGGAGAAGGTGGTGGAGATTCACCATGCAATGAAGCAGGTGGAGATTCACCTTGCAATGAAGCAGGTGGAGATTCACCTTGCAATGAAGCAGATGGATAAGCTGGTGGCGATTCACCTTGCATTGAAGCAGGTGGAGATTCACCTTGCAATGAAGCAGGTGGAGATTCACCTTGCAATGAAGCAGATGGATAAGCTGGTGGCGATTCACCTTGCATTGAAGCAGGTGGAGATTCACCTTGCAATGAAGCAGATGGAGATTCACCTTGCAATGAAGCAGGTGGAGAAGGTGGTGGAGATTTACCTTGCAATGAAGCAGGTGGAGATGCACCTTGCAATGAAGCAGATGGAGATTCACCTTGCAATGAAGCAGATGGAGAAGGTGGTGGAGATTCACCTAGCATTGAAGCAGGTGGAGATTCACCTTGCAATGAAGCAGATGGAGATTCACCTTGCAATGAAGCAGATGGAGAAGGTGGTGGAGATTCACCTTGCATTGAAGCAGGTGAAGATTCACCTTGCAATGAAGCAGATGGAGATTCACCTTGCAATGAAGCAGGTGGAGAAGGTGGTGGAGATTCACCTTGCAATGAAGCAGGTGAAGATTCACCTGGCAATGAAGGAGGTGGAGAAGGTGGTGGAGATTGGCATGTCAATGAAGAAAGTTGAGATTGGCCTGGCAATGAAGCAGGTGGAGGAGATGGTGGTACAGATTGGCCTGGCAATAAAGCGGGTGGAGTTACACATTTCAATGTAGCAGTGGAGATTCACGTTGCAATGAAGCAGTGGAGATTCACTTTGCAATGAAGTAGATGAAGATTCACCTTGCAATGAAGCAGTGGTGAAGATTGGTCTGGCAATGAAAGAGGTAAAGATTCGCCTGGCAACAAAGGAGGTGGAGAAGAAAGCCGTGATTGGCCTGGCAATGAAGGAGGTGAAGATTCATCTGGTAATGAAGAAGGTAGATAAGGTGGTGGTAGAGATTGGCCTGGCAATGAAGAAGGTAGAGATTGGCCTGGCAATGAAGGAGGTGGAGAAGAAGGTGGTGGTACAGATTGGCTCGGCATTGAATAAGGTAGAGATTCACCTGGCAATGAAGCAGGTTGAGAAGGTGGTGGAGATTGGCCTGGCAATGTAGGAGGTAGAGATTTGCCTGGCAACAAAGGAGGTGGAGAAGAAGGCGGTGTTTTGCCTGGCAATGACTGAGGTGGAAGAGCAAGTGGAGATTGACATGGCAATGAAGGAGGTGGATATTGGATTAGCAACAAAGGTGGTGGCGGAGAAGGTGGTAGTACAGATTTTCCTGGCAAAGTAGGGGGTGAAGATTGGCTTGGAATTGAAGGAGTTGGAGGAAAATGTGGTGGTACAGATTGGCCTGGTAATGAAGGAGAAGTAGAAGGAGGTGGAGATTGGCTTGGCAATGAATGAGATGGAGGAGAAGGTGGTGGTACAGACTGGCCTTGTAATGAAGGAGGTGGAGAAGAAGGTGGGGGAGATTCGCCTGACAATAAGGAAGGTAGAGATTGGCCTGGCATTAAAGGAGGTGGAGATTGGCTTGGCAATAAAGGTGGTGGAGATTGGCCTGGCAATGAAAGAGGTGGAGTAGGTGGTGATACAAATTGGCCTGACAATGAAGGAGGTGGAGGAGAAGGTGATGGTAGAGATTGACCTGGCAACAAAGGAGGTGGAGGAGAAGGTGCTGGTACAGATTGGCCTGGCAACAAAGGAAGTGGTGGAGGTACAGATTGGCCTGGCGATGAAGGAGAAAGTTGTGGTGGTACAGATTGGCCTGGTAATTCATGGTGTGATGGTGATGAACATTGATCAGATAGTGGAAGTGAATGGCTTTGTAGAGAAGGTGAAACCTGAGGGAATGACTTTGTTAAAGATGGTGGCAAGGTAGATTGAAGTGATTCAGATTCAATCACATAGTTTTGATTCAATTGTTCTTGTTGGCCAACTTTCACATATGGTTGCCTTGCTGGTACAAAATCGTCACTCTTGATTGTTTGGAGATCGTTTTCATACATCCTACTGCATGGTGATTTTGTCTGGTAATTAGCGGTGATTATTTGCTCACCATTCAGATTCAATAGTTTCTCAACTTGTGATTTGTTTTCCATTACGACTGCTCGTCTCAAAAATAATTCCATTGTTCCCCAGATAACGTCTGACAATGGATTGTCAGGCTCCAGCTGAAGCATACACTGAAGAATGGAGAGCAGGGTCATGCCATGGGGAGAATCACTCACCTGTCAATCAAGTGTAATACTTTGAGGTTAATACACAACAATCCCTGTGATATTAAGTTTTATTCATGAGGGATCTTGGTATTTCGAAGAGTCACATAGCGATAAGTTAAAATACCAAGATTATGAAAAAGAATGATGCAATATTACCTGATTTTTGTGCAATAACCTCTTTGTCATTTATAATTTCACAGCAGCCTTCATAACTTAATTTTGAACTAGATGCCCCCTAAGTGTGCACTGAATGTACTATGATTGACACACATTCACTCTAGAGGTCAAAGTTCGTGGAACACTTTATAATTATTGGGGAGCAGTAATATTGCATATGCACAATTTAAACCTAGCAATGCACTTTTGTTGATCAGGAATGCTTATGACATTTAGTAAATTATTTTAGTAATGATTTTGGGTTAAATTGGTATCAAACACAATAATTCTACATGTTGATTGCAGTATGAATATATATTATGCACCACCAGTTTCTTCTTTTCATCACAAATTCACAAAATAGTCCCGCTTAAAGTCTGCACTATTCTTTTGAAGATTGGGACAAAAATAGCCAAATTTTTTGAGTAAAATCTGTAAATTGATACCTCCTTCTGTTGGCTTCAAAATTAGAGTTAATCTTCAGAAATATTGAAGAAATTAAGAAAAAATTTGGGTAAGAAGGTCTGGTGGTGAAAAGATTTATGTCTGGGTGAAATTGGATACAAAGTTGAAAAATAAATGCGTAGTTTGCGCTGTTCAATTTGACCATGCTCAGTTGAAAATGAAACGTCAGCGAGAAAATTGTATAATTGTACTCTAGCATCAAATGGATCATGCATTCCATGTATAAAAGTTGCTATTAATTAACAAAATAAATGATTAGTGAGATGAAATGAATATTAATGAGTACTTCATTCTGTACAAGGCAGATGCATTGAACTATTGTATATATGCTGCAGATGTGTATATTTATCAATAAAGAAATCAGTGTGATATGCAAATAAGATCCTAATTGAAATAATGTGAGATAATTTGTGAGATCAAACACGTATAAAGAAATACTAGAAAGAAATATATACGGTACTAATAAATACAAATAAGTAATCACACAAGAAATAGTAAGTCTTCATATCAGGTAATTTTTTCTAGTATCCTTGCATATTTTTTTTTCGTTCTTTATTTGTTTTGTATGACCATTTTTATTTTCTCAGGGAGATATTATGAGTTATAAATATTATTATTATTATACATCTGTCAACGCCATAAGTTACAGCGTGCCATAATTTTGCAGTATTTTATGGGGTATTTTCATTCTACCATATTAGAAAATGCAAATTCCAAACATGGAGCGATTACGCATGTGAACATCCTCTATTAATAAAAAAAAAACATGGCAGCCACCAGGGTTTGACCGCACTCCGCACAAAGTAGTTCGCTAAATCTGTTTTTGGATTTCAGCATTCACAGGACGTATCCTTGGGAGGAAATATATATAATAATAACGTTATTAAGAGGATACTGCAAAGTATGCAATCAGACAGTACACCGTACCATTCAACCTCGGTCGATATTCCCTGCTGATATTGTACCGCCTTCATGCATACTTTGAGGTATCCTCGTAATAACCTAATATTATTATTATTTGTTGAATGTGTATTATGTGTTGGTCTTGATTTGAATTGGGCAATAATCTTTTCTGTTTTAACAATCAAATAGTTTATTGTGTCACCTACCATAGTAAAGACAGCATGAAAAACATCAAAGTGACTGTTAATATCCATACCGTGACCAATCTCATCATCATCTTCATCATCTGTTTGATGTTCATCAAATACATCTAACTGTATACAAAGATCAGTGTCATCTTCATGCCTAGCAAATAACATAAAGTTTGTGACAGTTAACTGAATTCTGGCTTTAATTAAGATTAACTACCATATTTACTCTGTTAGAAATGCAACTCAAATAGAAGCTGGAAAAATAAACAATTGCAGTTGGTTGTTAACAACTTGATAATAAAGTAATATATAGCATTATCTGGAACGCTTGCTACTGCCACATGTAGCATTTTAAACACCAATGCAGCGCATCAGAGAGCAAATCTGCTAGCAATTTTGCTTTCAATATAGTGTCCAGTATTTTGTCTGTGGCGCTGACAAGGTTAACAAGAACGCAATAATTCAGTGCATTCGATATTTCTTTTTGTAAAACATGACAAAAGATAGTTTTACATGGTGCAAAAAGAAGATTAACTGTAACAGTAATTGTAGTCTCACCTGAGTGAGGCAATAATATCCAGCAAGCCAAGTCCAATGAATTCATTACGCAATCGCCTTCTTTCAATGATGTCGTCAGTTGCTATGATTAAACTGTTGATAAATGCCATTAAGGTTGTCTTGTACGCTGTTAATTCAATATTTTTTATTTCATTCACAACCAGACTGAATCGATATCTCTGATTCTTATCCACCTACAAATACAAACAATTGTGAAAGTAATTGATTTGATGTCTGTGTTGTCGGTTTTCAATCCATGCCTGTATTCCCATTGATATGCACTATTTATATACAATAGCATTATCCTAATGTAGTAAGCAAGCAGGGATTAAATCAATACGTATGACCATAGTCAAATGAAGAGCAATCTTTCTTAGGACCAGAAAAACACAAGAAAATTTGTTTATCGCCATTTGTTTTTCCAAAATTGATGCACATGCAAGTTTGTCATGAAATTATGCTCTCATTTTTATTGTATCTGAAAATTTAATTGACTTCTAAAATTCTGACTAAAAAGCAGTGACATTCACACTTTTAACTAATGCACATAATAACAAGAAGCATAAATATTTGTTATAGTTCTCCTGAAATATGAATATTTTTTTTTTATAATTCTCCTTTTAGTGATGCTCTTAAAATGCATTTTGAATGCAGTTTTGTACCATTTTATACAATTATACTTTAATAATTATATACCAAAAATCAAAAATATGACAAAAATATTCATCAAAATTTAAGAATTGAAAATATCATCATGAAATAAACAAATCTGAGAGAGGTTTACTTGAAGTATCTATATGTATAATATCAAAGCAATCGAACTAGCGTTTTTTTTAACAAAAAGTCAAAAATATCACTTTTCACTAAAAAAGAGAAAAATATTCATCAAAATTAGAGAATCGAATATATCATCATGAAATGAGCAAATCTGAGAGAGGTCTATCTGAGATATCTATATGCATAATATCAAAGCAATTGGAATTGGATTGCAGTTTTTAACAAGAAGTCGAAAATATAATGTATCACTGGAAAAAAAAATTATTTGGAATTTGCTCAGCCCATATAATATGTAGGACTGGTTGTGAATGCAGTACATTCAAATATTAGAGGGAAAACCTACACAAATACTGAATCTGATCACAAGAAATATTCATACCATCATGTCTTGCTTTTTTGAATTGGGTAGGATTCACCAATTTTGAATCAAACTACGAAAATAAATGACATGCATCAGTAACCTTAATCAATATAAACATAGTATACGTTTGAATGAAACTGGACTAGGCCCACCAGAAAAATGTTAATAACATAACAATGAAACGAATATGACTGCCAGACAGCCATTTTGAATCAAATCACAAAACAAAATGACATGCATCAGTAACCCATGAAATGTCCAAATGTTGATTTTTGTTTTTTGGGGGAACAAAATGGGTCACCAGCCAGTCAAAAGTCAACTAAATGAAAAACAAATCAACATGCAAATGTAGTCTATTATGACTCGTCTTTGCACCAGCTTTGAACAAAATCGGTCTACACATGTTCAAGAAATGATGCCAGAAACACAAATGAATGGATAAACGGACGATTAACTGACAGATGAAATCCAAAACATAATATGGACAACATGTATGTACAAAGTATCAGTTTACTACAATTATCTAATTTCAAGAGCATATTACTAAATTAACATCTGGTTCTGATTATCATCAGTATAAATGTTTTCGTTCAGTTTGCTTATCTAACAAACAAACAAACAAACATTTTATTTCATATAAGTTTTACTTTATATTTTGAAAACTGCACTAAGCTAGTTACATTAAAATTTAACTTGGTTGAGATTTCAGATGATTGATAAGATTTACAAATTGGAAGATGATCAAATTGTTTGATTTATTGTAAAAACAAGAAAAGTGTTATGAGGGGGGTCAGCAATAATAACAATAGCACCACCATCACCAACAACAACAACGACGACGACGACGACAACAACGACGAGGACAGACATTTTTCTTTCATATATACCTAGACCTTCATCTACAATGATACAAAGTAAAAATGGGTTTAACATTTTAGTGAAATAACTAATAGATCAGTTTAATGTCTGTATTATATCTTGTTGGCTTTGTTCAGTTTTTGTACGATATATTACATTAGTATAAATCTAGCTCCCAAAACAATAGAATTTGCCATTCTGTAAAACACTGTATCAGCACATATTCAAATTTTTTCTATATATGGGGTAAACTTCATTAACAATATTGACACGTTCAAGATTATTGACGTCATCATGTATTTTTAAATTAACACTTCCCTTGGTTTTCACTGGATGCAGAAGAACACTCAAATGAATCCAGTCATTGAACAAAAATGCTTGCACAGCGCAAACATATTTTTGACGCCATTTTGAACTCTATATACTCTTTCATTAAGTTATCTATAATTAAAGTTATCAACAGAATACCACAAAATATGAAAGGCAGTACAGGGGGGGGCATTGACCTTCGCTACGCATAAATCGATACAATTGCTGTACTTCCTTCACGCATACTTTGGGGTATTCTTGTTACAACCTCATAGTACAAACTATCTGACTGCCAGCATGGTACTTAAAAAGTCATATTAATTAACATTTTATGGATATTTAATCGTCTACAAAGCTTGAGTGAACTTTTCCACTACAGTATTTTTCTGCTTCACTTACTTAAAGAAATACGATCTGAAAAAAAAAAAAGTTGCGTTTTCACAGTACAGTGACGTAGTGTAGTGGCTTCTATTTAATAAGTTAACAAATATGCATGAGTTAACAACAATGAATATAAACCAATCAAGCATAATAAGTAACAGACCATGATGAAAGAGATGTGTACTGATTGGAAGCTTTGTAGCTACCTGCTAATAACACATAATTTATTTGGTATGTGGTCCTATTTGGACTACTTTACAATTTACTGCAACAATCAAAAATCCAAAGGGGAGAATCAAGTGGTGATGACAGTTAAATGACAGCAGTACTGTAAAATCTGTATTAAAAAAACCACAGCTTCTATTAAAATAGTACAATGTTATTATGCAATAGCGGGG